ATTACCTGCCCCAGGGTAGGGGAAGTACTCACACCTATGGGTACTTCCCAGTATTTACCCACTTATGGGTAATCCCAGCAGTACTAAGACCCATAATCCCAGCCTTGGATCACACAAAATCCCAGTGGATCATGAGTTAACACAAACTCTAGAAGTCCTCACCCCATGACTGCATGAGGTTTTGGGGGGACAACTAGACACAAACCATAACACAGTGTGTGGGCAGGAGGGGCGGCATTTCATTCTTTTCACGATGTTATCTGTAGCATTGTGGAAAAGACTACTCTTTCTTCCAGGGAATTGTCCTGGAACCCCTTTATTTTTTTTTATTTTTTTATTTATTTGTGTGTGTGTGTGTGTATGTGTGTGTGTGGCCAGCTCAGCCCACCAGGGGGCGGGGCTGGCTGGCATGTGGTGCTGGGGGATTGAACCACGGTCCCTGCTTTTTGCTGAGCTTGTTCTAAGTAGGTGCTTTAGACCACTGAGCCATCTCACCAGCCCATGGAACCCCTTTAGAAAAGTCAGTTGCAGGCTGGGGATATAACTCAGTAATGTTAGGTCATGAGTTCAGTTCTTGGTACCAAACCCCCCCCCTCCCCAAAACAACAAAACCAGTTGCATGTTTTCGCACAGTACTTTTATGGTCTTACTATTACACTAGGAAGTAATTCTGGTGTAAGGTCTCAGGTATGGATACAATTTAGTGTTTCTTCCAAATGGCCACCCATTTATATATATATATCCTCCTCCCTGAATGGAGATGCCATTTAGAGCCACATCCTGTAGTGTTCTAAGTAGATAGGTTCATTTCTGAAATACCAATCATTCAGTGATTTGTTTTGGCATGGGCACTACCTGTTACATTAAGTAGTAATTGTTTTGTAATATGTTTCCTTGTATGATTGAACTACCATATCCTGGGTTTTCTTCACTTAAAGTTTCTGGCGTTCTCTTGTGTACTTTCCCATGTGGACTTCAGCATCAGTTGTCTTTTCTCTCTTCCTCCAAGTGAGAATTGCTCGTGGCTCCCATATCAGCAGTCCTGTCTATTTGGGAGGCAGAGTGAAGAGGTTGCTTGTGCCCGGGAGTTCAAGGTTAGCCCGGGCAATATAGTCAGGCTTTGTCTCAAATTTTTTTTCTTATATTCTTAGTTTATTTCTTCCAGATAATGTGTCAGTTCAGCTGCTGATATCTGATTTTCCCTCATAACCCTGCCTGTTTGGCATAGTGAACTCAGGAGGATGCAGCATTTAGGGAGAGTGCTTTTGTCTGTACATCTGAGTGTGTGTGTGTGTGTGTGTGTGTGTGTGTGTGTGTGGTGGGGACCAAGCCAAGGGCCTGAGCCTGCTGAGCTGAGCTGTACCCCTGGGTTACACCCAAGTCCCTCCATGGTGTCTGTGGAAACTTTGGAGCCTGACATCAGTGTGCCTGGCTGAGGTTCACACGCGTGCCGTGGTATGTTTCCTGCCTGCTGTTGCCCAGCTGCAGTTGTGGGATGTCCTGACATCAGAGACACAGATGAGATCTGCGTGTGTTAGAATCAGAGAAACAAAGTAGCATCATGTGCACCATCATTTCATAAATGTGGGCTTAGAGAGACAGACTAGGCAGGCGGGCAGTGGCCAGACCGTGAAGTAGAACTCTGACCCATGGCCTGTGGTGATTCGCCCAGGAAACCTCTTCTCTGCAATAGCCTGCAGGAAGTCTGGCTAATAATTTTGCAAGCTAAATAACTTTTGCTGGAATTAGTCCCAAATGACTGATTTGATTAATAATTGACAGCTTCCCTAATTTTTATCCCCTCTCCCAGCTTAGAAACAACCAGAAAAAGCCAAATCTGCCCGCTTTCCCATCACCCTGGGTGCCCCTTCTAGAGGAGGCTGCTGCCCCCGCTCTGCCCCAGCACACGCCTGCAGCCTCTGCACTGTGGTGCTCGCTGGCTCCCCTTGCTGCTTCTGAGTCTGCAAGCCCAGGTGATGGTGGCTGACTCCTTTTGATAAGGTGCTCTGGACAGGCACCTTTGTGGCGCTTTGTGGGACAGGGCTTTGATCATTGCTCCAGCTTTGAGGGGGAGCCTGTCTAAAACCCTATCCAGGTGCAGTTTGGGTGGGCACCTTTGGTGGCTGGTTGCCTGGGAGTTAGACAGGACAGCCTTCCACCCGATGTGAAAAAAATAGAAATTATTTTGTATCCTTCCACATTTACCTCTCCTTTCTTCCTTCTTGTTTCTTTTCTCTTGTTCCTTTAACATTCTAGAGGCCAAGTCTGGCTCTTATAAACCCCAAAGGGAGCCTGTACAAACCGCTACCACAGAAGCCCGCTCTTCACCCCGAGAGAGATAGAATGGTGCCCCCTGCAGGCGCTCTCCTGTCACTGCTGCTCCTGGTGACTGCTGCAGGTAGGAATCCACTGGACCCCAGCCACTGGCTTGAGTTTGTCCTGCGTGGCAGAAGCAACTCAGGCTAATCTGAAACGAAGGTGCTGTGTGCTTGCTTCCACTAGAATTGTTTTTCCATGTAAATGCAGACTTCATGCACAAGTGATTTTCTGGAACAGAAATTTAAAAATTTTATTATCAAAATATTTTATTATTTTCTGGGAAGATTGTTATATTTTGTATATCCCAGGACAATATTTTTTTT